AACTACATCGCTGGCTTTTTTTTTTTTTTTTTTTTAGTATATGTGCTGCCGAAGCGAGCACTAGAGGTAGTTTTTTTTTCTTTTTTTTTTTTTTTAGTAGGTATTTTTGCTTGTGTGAGAGGATGCAGACCCTGAGACGTTATAGCCTTTCCGAGCGATAGCCACTTGTCTCCGTACGCAGCTCTGTGCGCTGTCAGGGTTCACTATGCTAAACCCAAGGCTTTTACAATTTTTCTGAGGTTTTTGTGTCAGTTGCTGCAGCCAATACAGAGATCAAGGTGACAGGAAGGGCAGCCCAGGTCCTACGCTGCAGGGGGGAGGGCAGACCGAAAACAAGTAAATAAGCCCTCTGGCTCCTCTGGTAAGTGCCCGACGACAGTGGGGGCTGGGGCGGAGGGACGCAGAGTGGAGAGAACTATTTTACAAAGGGCCCAAGGAAGGCCTCTGCATTTGAAAGGTGCATCTGAAAGGGCCTGCAAGTTAAAAGCCTGGCTATGTGAAGAGCCCGAGAGAGGGCAGTCAGGACGGAGGAACAGCAAGTGCGCATGTTCTGGCACAGGGCACAGCGGCCCTGCAGTGAGGTAGAACGCGCGGAAGCGGCCGGAGCAGCGCGGCCTGAGCAGGGGCAAGGCTGAAGCCGGTGGGCAGCGGGCCGACCGCCTCAGTCGCGGGAGTCTTGACCTCTTTCTGGGTGCGAAGCGAGGCCAGGGGGCTGGGGAGGAGCGGCATCTAATTTATGTCCTAAGGAGCTCTCCCATTGCCAGGAAGAGAAAGCCTGAGAAAGGGAAAGCCTTCAGGGCAGATGAGGTGCCCTCTCTAGTGCAGAGGAGCGCAGCAGTGGTATTCGGAGAAGGCCAGGGGAAGACGGGAGAAGGGGGAGAATCACAATATGAAAGCTAATTCAGGGAATAGTAATGCAATTCAGTCCTGAAATAAATAGTCCCGTGAAAATCGTAAAAAGTGCTTTTTTTCTTTTTTCTTTTTCTTTTCTTTTCTTTCTTTCTTTTTCTTTCTTTCTTTCTTTCTTTCTTTCTTTCTTTCTTTTTTTTTTTTTTTTTTTTTTGCTTTATCTATATGTTAGTTGCCTGCAGTAAAGGACAAGTATAATTCAAAGAAATACATACAAGCAACCACGTAGGCCTAGCAACTACTGAGGCTCACTTGGCAAGTTTGTAATTCTCGATTGCAGATGTTTTCTTACCTCAGGCAGACCTTCAATGAAAGCGTGGATATTTGCGGCATTTGCAACTTCTTTGATCTCCTCTAAGGGCACCACGCGGCTGTTGTCACCATAGGCAATGTTCTCAGCAATGCTCCGGTTGAAGAGCACAGGCTCTTGAGAAACGATGGCTATTTGGGAACGGAGCCACTGTACGTTCAATTCTTTTGCATCTATACCATCAAACAGCTGCCAAAAGCAGAAGGGGAACGGTATGTTAAGATCTGACAGCTGTGCCATGTTGCCATTCACTATATTCAAACACGTCAAGCATATACAAATCATAACAAGAAGACTAGGAATTCAAACTATTTCAAAGTGGTATAATGTTACCCAAGGGAGGCTCATAAATCATATGTTAGTAAGGCAAACAGCATATAACTCATTGGAGTGTTGCTTCTAAATTTACCTGCCTGTTCTGGAAATGGCCACATATTCCAGAGACCTGCCACAAGTGTGGAGTAAACCCTGGTGGTCTGTCCTGAGGTCAGATGGAATGTGACCAACCTCTTCCTTCTCTGTTACAGGACTGATTTACTGAGGCCAAAGAGAGGAGGCATAGACCGATACAGAAGACCACTTGTAGAGATATGTCCTTTTGCTCATAGCCATGAGAACTGTGAATGTGCGGGGATGTATAACAACACTTAACCGATATTTGATGAGCATGCCTACTGGGTGGTCCTGACTGTTGAGGTACCAGGGAAGTAGTATATGACAAATCTCTTACACTACTGAATTCTAGCAGAGAAAGACAGGTTATAAACACACCAATAGATAAACTCACAAAAAGAAAGTACCATGAGTGTAACTCTCTTTTTCTGTAGTACCAGGGATTGAACTCAGGACCTTGTGCCTGCCAGGCAAACACTTATTCCACTGAGCTATCTCCCCAGTCCAAGAAAATACCATAAAGACAGGATAATAGGGCAGAGTGATTGAAGCCTTGGAGAGGTTGTGGAAAGGGGAAGTGAAGAAAGGCGCACCACTTTCTGCAGGGTTGGCTAAGGGACATTCAGACTGAGATGTAAATGATGAGCAGCAGCTAGCAAGGAAGTTGGAGTAGAATGATTTTCAGCAAGGGAGTAGCAAGAACAAAGGCTCATATGTGTGTTTAAAGAACAGACACAAGCCAAGGCAATTGATATACAGCTGCCCATGAGATGAGAGACACAAGGATTTGGAGAAGGAGGCAGGGCCCAGGTCATGAAAAACTGTGGCTGATGGTATGGTTTCTGGTTATTTTTAATTTATTTTAGGTTTTCAGGAAGGAATGTACTATACTGTATGCAAATAGATGAATACTACTTGTTCAAGAAAGTCATTTTGGACAACTCTGGCTTGAAAATATTCATTGAGGATTTATGATGTAGACAAGTATGTAAATAGTAGGCGAGTGAGGATAAATGAGAGTACCTTCATTTTTGGTACTATGGACTGACTCTTAGGGCTTTTTGTGTGCTAGGCAGTTGTTCTATTCCTGCAGTACATCCCCAGCCCAATGTGATGACTGCTGACCTTTAGGGATTTACAGTTTTGTGGAGGACAGAGGAGGCACCATAGAAAGTGGGTGAGGGGAAAGGCAAGCAAAGGAATGAGAGTTGAGAGTGAGAGAGTAGGGGTCAGGGAGATGGCTCAGTAGAATAAGCACTTGCCTGGCAAGCGCAAGGACCTGAGTTCAATCCCCTGTTCTGCCAAAAACAAAAACAAAAACAGAGAATGAGAGAGTAAAGGAGATCTAGCAGGTGTTTACACAGTGTAGTAGAATAAGTCAAAGTAAGAAAAGCAATCCTGGGCCAGCGAGATAGCTCAGTGGAGTAGGCGCCTGCTTAGGCAAGCTTAGGGACCCAGTTCAATCCCCAGCATCACATTTTATGCCAGCCCCGCCTCTGAGTGCGCTGAGCCAGCCACCAAGAGTGTGGTGGTGCACACCTGTAATCCCAGTGCTGGAAAGCCTGAAAACAAGAGGATTACTATGAGCTCCAAATACATTAAAAAGAAGGAAAAAGAAAAGAAATGCAATCCTTCAGTTAAAAGGAGGATGAGGTTGCATTTTTTTGAGATGAGGACCCACAAAGTCGTAATTTTTTTTTTTTTTTCAGAACCAGGGAGCAAGGACCTCCTTGCTCTTGCCAGGGAATCACTCCACTGAGCCATCTCCCTGGCCCAGTAGTAGTGTTGACTCAAATAGGACTTAATTGCATATAAGTTATTGACATTTGGGGATGGGGATGACCAGTGAGAAAAGCATACTTTGTTATTGGTTTGTTTGTTTTCTTAAGGACGGGGATAGAGATTTAATATTTTAACTTCCACATGTCTTGCCGTGCCTAAACCAGCGAGGATGCTTACACCCACGTAAGTATTAGGAGCGGTACCCTTAGGCCCCAGGTTAGATGTGATTAAATTCAGTCTTACCACTTGTCCTTCCACGGGATCATAAAACCTCTGGAGAAGTTGAACAGAAGTGCTTTTTCCACAGCCACTGCTCCCAACAAACGCCACCGTCTTCCCTTTTTCAATCCTGAGGGATAAGCCACGAAGGGTAAAAACATCTGGGCGGCATGGGTAGAAGAAAGAGACTTCTCGAAACTCTAAATTCCCTTCACAGGTGTCCTGTGGAAGGGAGTTGACAGCATTTAGATGGGTGACTTTGGTACATGGTGACACATGGTAGCACCATGGCTAAGTGCCCGTTGGAAGCCGCATGTTTCCCCAACCGGTTTAATTTTCCATTTCGTGTCCATCTCTGTAGAGCCGCTGGCTGCATCCTAGTTCCTGTCGTGCTGCTTATATTTTATGTCTGTGTTTCCCACTCTCTTCACTGCTGTATTTCTCCTAGCAACGTGGGTGTCCTTTGGCTTGGCTATGCAGACCCAATTCATTCTACAGATTAGCTGTGCAACCAGCAGCTCAGAAGAAATATGCTTTTTCTTTTTAATTTGCTTTACAAAATTTTACTGTTTAATTCAGAGGAGATTATATCCTCACAAAGTATAAGCTGGACCATATTTTGTAAGCTGGATTATATTTCATAGTTAATGTACATCGTGTTTTGAACTCAGCTTTATCTTTAGTTTCTACCAATCATTATTTGGCAATAATAGTTGCCTCATTTGGTTTCTCTCTATGTTTCAGTCCTTTTAGTGAATAATCATTTGTATGTAAACCGATACTAATATACACCAAAAATGTTTTCAAAAGAATTTCCAGGGCTGGCCAGATAGCTCAATGGACTAAAACACGTGCTTTGGCAGACGCAGGGGTCAGGGATTCGATCCCCAGTTTGCCATGCCAGCCCTGCCCCTGGGGCGCACTGAGATGGCAACTGAGACTGGGCGTGGTGGTGCGCACCTGTAATCCCAACACTTGGGAGGCTGAAAAACAGGAGGATCACTGAGTCCAATCTGTGTAGTGAGACCCTGTAGACCCTGTCCTAAATACATACAAATAAAAATAAAAATAAAAGAATTTCCAGAGCTACCACTAAGTGATGATTAACTTTTCCTTCACATTTTTTGGCTCATAAAATTTTGGGTTTTTTTTAACTTCATGTTTTCCCCAGTTGCCTTTGTGTGTGTATGTGTATTGCTGAGGTTTCAACCCAGGGCCTTGTGTGTGCTATGCACATTGTCTACCATGGTGGAGCTGTGTCTCCAATTACATTGTAACTTTTATTTTATTTTTAATTTTTTAAAAATTTATTTTGTGTGTGTGTGTGTGTGTGAGTGTGTGTGTGTGTGTGTGTGTGTGTGTGTGTGTGTGTGTGTGTTTTAGGGAAAGGTCTACAGGCTGTTCAGGGTCTCACTACTAGATCAAACTTGTGGTGATCCGCCTGTTTACAACTTCCCAAGAGCTGGGATTACAGGCACCCACCACCACACCCAGTCTCAGTTGCCCTTTCAGCATGCCCTGGGGGCGGGGATGGCACAGCAGGCCCCTGCGCCTGCTTGCAGGTGTGTTAATCCGCTGAGCTATTTGGCCGGTCCTCATTTTAACTTTCATTGATAGTGTAGAAATAAACAAGAAGAGCTAAGTGGGTCTGCATGTGTGCTGGCCGGGATGTGCTGCTGCTGGTACTGACAGCTGGATGTGCAGGCAGATTCCTTATGTCTGATTTGGTCACATTTAACATTTATTGAACCCAGCCTCAAGGTATCAGGAAATAGACACACCAAAAATTTTTGATGCTATTATTCTGTTATCAAACAAAAGTTAGTATATGATTCAGACTTATATGAGGTATGATAAAATTTATGGCAAAAAAATTTGAAAATCAAAAGATTAATCCTAGTAAAAGACACATTGCTATTAATATTCCTCAAATTACTCTGCCTTATTTAATCATTTGTTACCAGGGATCGAACTCAGGACCTTGCCAGGTAGGCAGGTGCTTATGCCACTGAGCTATTTGTCTGGCCCAACTCTGCCTTTCTTTGAACACACTCATCACACTGTTTTTGCTACTTCCTTTCTTTTTGCTTTGTTTTTGCCACTTTCTGAAGTAGTTCTGGAAGTCCTCTTTCATGAATGTCTTTTCATGGCTGCCTCGAAGGCCTGAATCAATTCAAAAGGAGATTTCTGTAAAATAAAAGCATTAGGGTACGTCCTCACCCACCTGCATCGGCACAGGCAGCTTCCAACTCTTCCCCAAAGTCACCATGACCTTGAAAGGTATGTGGACAGAAGAGAACTTCCAGAACTGCTTTCTGATTACTCTGACCACAGGGTTCTCCTTGGGGTGTGTGTGTGTTAGTACTTGAGCTCAGAACCTTGTGCTCGCCAGGCAGGAGCTGCGCCAGGGAGCTGTATTCCCAGACAGAACTGCTTTATTTTTTTAAATTTATTTTTATTTTTTTTTTCAGAACTGCTTTAGATAGGATATGTGTGTTTAAAGAAAAGGGAAATATTTTCAAGGGGATTAATGTGATACATCCTTCACTGCAGTAATTTTTTAGTTAAATGAGACATTCACCATATTTTCTGATCATGTCTCATAGAAGTAGAAGAAAATATTGAACTTGGTGTACACCACAAGATAAGTGTAGTATTTCTAATTTTGCCCCTTATAACACAGTATGACTATTTTTGCATATGTTCTGTTGCCTTTGGTAAAGGTATAGCGAGATAATCTAAGAAACTTCTAGACTCACACCTTTTAGAATTTAATTTTACTATTTTTAATTGTGTTCACTATGGAGAATTTCAATTGTACCTAAAAGTGAGAGAAAAACATAATCTGTTTCCAGGTTCCTATCATCTAGTTTTAGTGTGCGTAGTTTTTGCTAATTTGGTTTGAGCAGATTTTAATTATTTTTTTCTTGATATTTTAA